GTTATTGCCATATTTTTTGACCTTGAGAAGGCATATGACACAACTTGGAGGTATAATATTTTAGCCCAAGCCCACTCCTTAGGCCTTCGAGGCAATCTACCATCCTTCCTTAAGAACTTTTTAACTGACAGGCATTTCCGTGTTCGGGTTAATAATGTGCTCTCCCCGGACTTTATCCAAGCTGAAGGTGTCCCCCAGGGATGTGTTCTGAGCACAACACTTTTTCTCCTTGCTATTAATGATTTGGCCTCTAGTCTTCCATCAAATATTTGGTCATCACTCTATGTTGATGACTTCGCTATTGCCTGTGCAGGCGCTGACTGTCACCTTACAGTTTCTCTCCAACATGCAGTCGACCGTGTTTCCAATTGGGCCACCACACATGGGTTTAAATTTTCCAGCACTAAAACCCACCAAATCACTTTCACTAGACGCTCTGTCATCTCCGATCATCCTTTGTACCTCTATGGCTCCCGTATCCCTGAACGTGATACAGTCAAGTTTCTGGGCCTCCTCTTTGATCGTAGGTTATCCTGGAAACCTCACATTACCTCTCTGAAGGCAACTTGTCACAGCCGGCTGAACCTTCTTAAAACCCTTGCTCATCTTTCGTGGGGAGCTGATCGTCGAACCCTCCTTCACCTACATTCCACCCTTATTTTATCGAAACTTGATTATGGTGACCAGATCTATTCAGCGGCATCTCCTGCTACTCTCTCTAGCCTTAACCCCATTCATCACCAAGGATTACGTTTATGCCTTGGTGCTTTTCGCTCTTCCCTGTCGAAAGCCTCTATGCAGAAACGAACGTTCCATCCTTATCCGATCGCCGTGATGCCCATTGCCTGCGCTACTATGTACGCCCTCATGATCTCCGCAATCCTTCCATTTATAGAATGGTCACTGATATTAGTAGACATTCTTTATTTGTTCGCCGCCCCTGCTTACTCCGTCCCTTCTCTCTTCGCCTTCATTCGCTCTTGTCTTCTCTTCAACTACCACCTTTCTATGTACATGTAGCATCTCACTTTTCCCTACCCCCCCGGGAAGTTCCAGCTGTTCGAGTCTGTTCTTTCTCCCTCCCTTGCTCGAAAGCCCAACTGTCTACGGTCGCTTCCCGCTCTCTTTTTCTTGACCACTTTCACTCTCATTTTTCATGCCATTGCTGTGTACACAGATGGCTCTAAGTCTTCTGACGGCGTAGGATTCGCAGCAGTGTTTCCGGACAGCGTCGTACAAGGGCATTTACTATCTTCGGCTAGTATTTTTACTGCTGAATTATATGCCATCCTTACAGCCCTTATCCGTATTGCATCTATGCCTGTGTCATCATTTGTGGTTGTCTCAGACTCCCTTAGTGCTTTACAGGCTATACAAAAATTTGATACACCTCACCCCTTAGTCCTCCGTATCCAACTTTGGCTACGCCGCATCTTTACCAAGCATAAAGATATTGTTTTTTGTTGGGTCCCTGGTCATGTTGACGTACAGGGCAATGAACAGGCAGACACTGCTGCGCGGTCAGCAGTACATGACCTACCAGTTTCTTATAGAGGTATTCCATGTACGGACTATTTTGCTGTAATATCTTCCCACCTTCACACCCGTTGGCAACAACGTTGGTCTACTATGCTCGGCAACAAACTTCAGTCTATTAAACCGAGTATAGGTTACTGGCCGTCTTCTTATACCAGTGTCGAGGTTGGGAGACTACTCTCTCCCGTCTTCGCATTGGCCATACTCGTCTTACTCATGGATATCTCATGGAGAGGCGTCTTGCTCCTCTCTGTGAGAATTGCCAAGCTCCATTATCAGTCAGCCACATTCTGTTGGACTGCCCACTTTATCAACGAGCACGCAGAATATACCTCTGTCGTCGTCTTCGCCCCGCTGCTCTCTCTTTACCTTCCCTTCTCGCTGATGGACCCACCTTTCATCCGGACTCTCTCATTGACTTTTTGACAACGACTGACTTACTTCACAAATTCTGATACTTTCAGCCCTTTCTACTTCAATCTCTTGCTACCCTCTACCCCCGTACTATCCCCTGCCCCGCTGTTTTCTGTAACCTGCTGATCATCCCCCCTCCCTTCTGCCATCCAATTCCCTTGCTTCCTTCCCTACCCTGCAGCGCTGTATAGCCCTTGTGGCTTAGCGCTTCTTTTTTGATTATAATAATAATAATACGAAAGTAAAAGACTGGGCAGGCGATGCAAAATGCCCCCAATAAAAAGTAGGGGCACCATTGGTACACTAAGGGAAAACACCATAAGTGTCCCAGGCCCAAAACTGTTCAACAGCCTCCCATCAAGCATTAGGGGAATTGCCAATAAACCCCTGGCTGCCTTCAAGAGAGAGCTGGACAGATATCTAAAGTCAGTGCCGGATCAGCCGGGCTGTGGCTCGTACGTTGGACTGCGTGCGGCCAGCAGTAACAGCCTAGTTGATCAGGCCCTGATCCATCGGGAGGCCTGGTCATGGACCGGGCCGCGGGGGCGTTGATCCCCCGGAATAACCTCCAGGTAACCCCTCCTCTGCCCTTGTAATATTTTTGGTAGTGCAATGCCTGATCTTCAAGCCCCAATGTCCTTGTGGCTTAGCGCTTCTTTTTGATTATAATAATTCAAGCCCCAAATTCTTTGAATAAAATTCACACCACACATTGTCCTTAAACATGGCATTTCCAATGCCTGGTCTAGGGGTGGGCTGCAGGGGTGTTGACCCCTGGAACACCCTCAAGGTAGCTTACAGGTTTAGTGCTTCTTTTTGAATATAATAATAATTAAGGTAGCTTACTCCTCAATGTAACTTCTAAAGCCTGTGCTTCACACTCGTATAGCGCTTCTTTTTTATTATAATAATTCGTACTCAACCGTTGGTACCATTATACCCTGGTACATAGTCTTTGCTGCCTCCATGGATGGTTCTTTGTCTCCACAGATGCTTCAGTGCACCATCCACCTTATTTTTTATCATCAAATTTATGAGTTGCCTTATCTTTCATAAACCCATCTGCTGACTTCAGTCTATTCCCAAATATCTGAACACATTTACTCATACGCCTTCCCTCCAGCCTGCTATAAATTCTCTCATTGCGTAAATTTTTCGTTACTCTCATCACCTTGCTTTTCTTATGTTCTTTTATAATTTATTTTTATTATAAAAGAAATACTGAATAACTTTACTATTAACAACATATAAAAATCTATGAGAGTGTATTAACATTTTTGTATTAATTAGATAAATTAACTATTATATGATTAAGTTGTTAAAAACTAGCCAATGTGGTGAGATATAAGGTAAGATTTGTTGGAATTTTTAACCCGAGGGAGGATTAGCTACCCAGGATAACCTAAAATAGTCAGTGCGTCATCAAGACTGATTTCCACTGTGGTCCTTCAATCTTGTCCTTCAGGGTTTAGTGCTTCTTTTTTATTATAATAATAATTGTCCCCCAGGATGCCACCCACACCAGTCACTTAACACCCAGGTACCTATTTACTGCTAGGTGAATAGGGACAGCAGGTGCAAGGAAACATGACCAATGTTTTCACCGGTGCCGGGGATCGAACCATAGACACTGTGAGGCGTTACCAAACAAAAATCTTATAATTTTAAATAATTTGTTTTCTTTGGGCCCATTACAACAATAGTTTTTAAGCAGTCTAAAGGGCAGACAGGTCACAAAAAAATATATTATGGACATTCTGGGCTACCATTCACAGGCTGAGCCCTGGGTGGACCATAAACTAGCTACTTGTCTACCCACACATACACATCTCTAAAATGAAACATAACCAATAGCAGGTTTAATTTAATGTGCTCAGCGCTGTATGACCCTTATGAGTTTAGCGCTTATTATTATTATTATTATGATCATAAGTAAGAGCTAAACCCATAAGGGGGGTTTAGCGCTTAATGATAATAATACGTTCTATTTAATTTTCGATATTTTATTCCTTAATTTGAATAGTATATAACCAATAACAAAATGTATACTAGTAGAAATAAGCAGCACTGCATGACCCTTATGGGTTTAGCGCTTAGTTATGATTATAATAATTAGTAGAAATAATTAGCAAATTACATCCTAAGATGACAAACATGAAAGTCCTGGTCTGACCTGATCGATAATTTATTCCTTACAATATTCAATATTAGGTGGGGTTATTTCATGGAAATTTTAAGAAACAATCTAAGGAAACTCATATTGTAAACCAACCATAAATAATCTAACTTAGCCTAACTCCTCCAGTGGTAGATATGAGAATCGACTGCCTTTATTTGCATTCTGTTGCTCTTTTGTTTACTGATGTGCTTTTTGTTTACGCTCTAGTGCGCTTTTGTTTACGTTCTGATGTCCTTTTTTTTACGTTCTGGTGAGCTTTTTTACATTCTAATGTGCTTTTTGTTTACACAAATAACCCGCACATAGAAGAGAGGAGCTTACGACGACGTTTCAGTCCGACTTGGACCATGTCACTTTGTAAATGGTCCAAGTCGAACCGAAACGTCGTCGCTAGCTCCTCTCTTCTATGTGCCCCTCAAGGAAGGTTCCTTGATGTTGGTGAGGGGCTCTTGATTTAGGGAATTGGATCTGTGCTCCAGTTCCCCGAATTAAGCCTGAATGCCTCCCACATCCCCCCCCCAGGCGCTGTATAATCCTCCGGGTTTAGCGCTTCCCCCTTGATTATAATAATAATAATCTCTTCTATGTGCGGGTTATTTGTGTATCGTTCCAGTCACGGTATTGTGCCTTCTTTTGTTATTTTTGTTTACGTCTGACAGGCTCTGACGTGCGCCTCGTGCCGTAATGCATTGTTTTTAGCTAATATTTCCCAAATAAAATTTTGCACACAAAATAACATTTGTTGCCGGGGTATGGATAACATGCCTGTATATTATTAAATAATGAGTCCAGACCAGGACCTAAACTCCATATTGACTTTTTTTTTTTTTTAGTTCGGCGGATGTCACAGTGTATAAATATTATTTCCATGGCAACAGTGACGCTACCCTCTGAGTTACCATGGCAACGGTGACGCTACCTTCTGAGTTACCATGACAACGATGACGCTATCTGCTTCACATTTGATTCTAGATGATCAGTGATACTTTTCTCCAGGTTCGTTAAAACTAAATCTTTTGTAATCGTGCAGTTTACTACCGTAATTACTATACAAGCGTAGAGACAAGCTTATTCTTGTAGGTACAACAACATAATTTACAGATTACGCTATAGTTAAATTGTAAATAGAATAACAGTGCTCCTCTAGACGGAATAACCATATAGGAACTCCTAATTATAACTACATTGAAAATGCACATAGAATTGTGCTGAAGTACTACACCGAGATAATTAAAGTTGTTTAAGTTAGTCAAGGCTTGATATCTGCTGGTTTTAAGCCATGAGTGACCCAGAACAGCAATCCCAGGGGGACTATGATGACCAAGATGATGGTGACGAGGTGCCTAACGTCTTAGAAGAGGCTTCAACCCAGAACCAACACACAGATGGAGAGTCGGAGGTGGCGGAGGAACTCTCTCCAACACACACTCCAGCAGGTGGGAACCTAACTTACATTTAAACATACATTAGTAAGTGGCCATTTAACTAGAGCTGTGGAAAATTGCATTTATCTGAATGTAACTAATTATGTACATAACAGTAAATGATAACAAAGATAATTATTATTTATCAATGTTACATAGACAAGTAGGAATTTGGGACACCTAGGTCGCAAAAAATGTCCCCCTTCGATACCTACCACTGTCATAACCACAAGTTGCTCTGGACCTATTAATTAAATGAAATATACATACACCAGGAATATTAGTAAATATATAAATTTGTGGACTGTATATTAAAAAATGATTATATATAAATTCACATATACATAACAGAAGGAAAATATATCTTAATATCACTCACCAACTGACTGGATATTAAGTTGTATCATACTCAGAAAAACCTCACTAAATTTATGAAAACACTGGCCAGAATTATACACAAATCTAGAGAGCTTATCTGAGGTTCACGGAGCTGTTTTGTCCAGTCGTCTGATATCTCAAGTTATGCAGGAATGCACATCCAACAATTTCGCCTCATATTTGAGAGATGTCAATCCAATTTTAACCTCTAGAGCACGAAAAATTCTTCCCATTATATTAACGTTGTATCCAGTTCAAAAACCAAGATGGCGAGTCTCCTACGCAGACGCAGGCTTTCCGTTTTCTATTACATAAATATTATTAAATACAGTATGGCCATCTATTTACATATAAATACTGAATTTCTGGAAAATATATACAGTATTTTCCACATAAGCAGTAACCAGAAAACTTTTGTTTCCAATGCTTTATTTCTATAAACAACATTTGATACAGACCTATATGATATTACTGGCATACTTCATAGAAAGCCCCTATATATGCAGAGCATTTCAGGCAGCCTAAGTTAATCTTGTCCCCCAGGATGCGACCCACAACAGTCGGCTAACACCCAGATACCTACTAGCTAGGTGAACAGGGGCAGCAGTTGTAATAAAACATGCCCAACGTTACACCCGTACAGGGGGTCTATCTTGTACCCACAGTGTGTGAGTCGAGGACACTACCATCCAAGCCTCGAGCTACTTGCAGTACTTTATCTCAACCCTATAAACGTCTTGATACTTTACAGTTTTGTAGTGATTTTATTGGGGTGTTGTCAGAATACTGGTGTGAGGACTGTGCTCGATGGTGAGGGTGGTTACGGTACGTAATGATGGCTTGTGGTAGTAAGGATGTGTGGTGTTGCAGGTGCTGGAGCACCATCGTGGGAGGCGGTGATCAAGACCTTGGGACCAGACCATCCGCTGCTACGACGTTTCCAGGACGCCAAGCGTAAGCAACTCCTCGAGGAGAAGAGCCAACTACAGCTGCGACTCAGACAACTGGTAAGAAGGTCCTCTGGTAGGCATAAACACACCTCTACTGAAATATCATTTTGCCCAAGGCGTAATATAATGGAAAAATTTCATCAGATAATCGATGAGTTAATTAAAGCAGTACTACGGTCATTGCAGCGTCAACAAACTGAGGACCTGAAAACGGACAACGTGTCACTAGGAGCTCAACTCTTCGACATCCAGCAAGCTGTTACTCGAGCTCAGGTAAGTACAAAAAACTAACTTAATTTTTGGGTTATCCTAGGTTCTTTACACATATGCTGGTATGTACGATAATTCTATATAACTGTATTTGTGTATACCTGAATAAACTTACTTATTTCCCTGAGAACTTTGTCTCTCTGTAACCTACAATGTCTGAGTTTTCACTTCTTGCATTTCCTTTAGTTGTCCGGATTTGTTTATTTGTAATTAGGTATCCCTGAAGGGAGATCTTTAAGAGGTTGCCGGAACTTTTTTTCTTCTTCCTTTAGCTTTTCGATTTTATTTCGCTCACATCTCGAGAACGCCTCATCCAATTAGCTTCAAATTTTCAATATTTGTGTATGGCAACGAGGACCAAATTCGGGGAACAACGCGTAACTTTCAGCGTCCAGAAAGATGCTTAACAATTTGATGACGGTGGAGAGTAAAATTCAAATGTCTAGGTTCAAAGCTGACTTTAGTATGTGTAAAATAATGTGAAATTTTTAATCTTGAATTGGTATTGTATTATTTGACCTTACTGCGTTATTTTCCCTTCGTGCTGGCGAAGGTCCCTTGATCCAAACAAGTGGAGTTATCTTTCCCTTGCTTGGATCATATTTGAATACCTCCCATTCCACAGACACTACATTACTCCTGCGGGTTTAACGTTTTCCTCTTGACATCACGATCACAAATTTATCCCTGTATCTACAAATATGTAATTAACACACATCAACTTATTAATACTTTCGATGCAGGTGGATCTGGACAAGGCCAAGGCGGAGAGAAAGAAGAAAAGGCAGGCAGTGCAGGCAGCCCAGGAAACACTTGCTCATGCTCGGGAGGAGGAACGATCCCTATTAGTTGCTCTCAATCATGCTCGACACCACGGTGAGTGATTTCTTCACATTAATGCAAATTTTGTTGCCTATCGGTCAACTATACCTGGATGCAGCAGATAATTAATTTCTCTTATACTGTGCTGCTACTTTCTTCATCAGTCTCCTGTGTAGAATTCTATCAAGGAATTGCTTATCATGATCAAGGAATTGATTATCATCATCAACCACCTCAAATACATTAGTGAAAAGAGTTAATAATTTCCTAAGGTAAGAACGCCCCCTTGTGGAACTGTGATGAGAAATTTATTGATCAATTAATATCTTTCAAAGCACTGTGAATTACATCTGCAATTAAAATTTCCATCAATTTTTCCACAATTGAAGCAAAATTGTTTGGTTTATAATTCGACACATAAATCTACGCTTTTTAAAAAATAAGATATTATAGGGAGCCAATGGAAATAGGTCACTTTGACGTTTTATGGTTATCCTAGGTAATTTACACATATGTTTTTAGTATGATAATTATGATCACCTAAATTTGTATAACTATACTTATGTGGGACCTGTACTTAAATAATCTTACTTACTTACTAAGGATCTATTCCCACTTAGAAGTAAATGGGTATTGCATTTTCGATTTTCTACGTATTTGGTATGATACCCGTTTGTAGTGATTTACTGAAGAGATCAGCTAATAGTTTTCCAAGTTCCACTTTAAAATTCCATTAAAACTTCAATTAAAACAGTGACTTGCTTCAATCTGTCTATTTGTCTGAGGTTCGTCACTAGTTGACTTGGACCTTGCATAATTTATTTATCGTACTAACCTATATAATTGTGAATTTCTGGAATTCTGCTTGTATTCTCTAGTGTAAAAACAGAGGGGAGTTATGTTGATTTTTTTGACAAATTATTTAGTTATTAATAGTAAGTTGATCTGAGTTACATTTAAGTGTTCCTATCATTTCTCCTAATTAATAGGCCTATCTTTTTCCTAATCTTTGGACCTGCCCTACCCTTCCTTGGATGGAATCTGAATTGCTCCCATTCTCTCTGGCCCTAAAAGGACCCCTGCTGGGCCATTTGTAGTCAAGCTATGCTGCCAACTCGCTCTTGCGACTGTCTCAAAACTACAGACATTCTAGTCATTCTAACCTATGAATGTAATAATAATAACGGTAATAATTTTCCCTAACCATTGTTGCTTATACTTTAAAAGAAGCTTCTGGGTTGGTCATTGATTCCCTCGCATCTTTAATTTCACAATTCTTCTTTAGCTTTCTTATTCCCTTTCCTGCTTTTTTGAAACTAAATGCATTGTTTTGTACAGTGACGCCCTCATTTTTTTATTCGACTGTAATATCTATTTTTTGTTTACCAGTTTTGTTTGACCATTTTTGGGTCTTTTTTGTTCGATCTAATTTTTGTGTATTTCAAGTAATTATAGCACTACAACATGACTTAGTAAATTACAGTAACCTTCACTAAAATACTTGGGAAACCGGGGAGGAAATTACATGAAACTCACCACAAAGTGGCCAACTTCCTCTTTCAGAGACTCAGTGTTGCGATCCAGAGGGAAAATGCCTGCAGTGTTCTGGGCACGCGGTCCGGGGAACCGGATGAAGTCCTTGAGATGTCGGCTCTAACATACCATTTATGTTGTTCTTCTTCCCATTGTATCTATGTTAATGTATTTTCTTTATAAATAAAGTTCACACAGAATATAGGGGCTGGCAGAAGAAAATATTCAAATATCTCCGGGGAGAATCTTGAGCTTTCCCTGAAGTACATTTATCTCTTCCCTCATGATGAGGGACCCCAGACCAGTTCTATAGGTGGTATCTCCCTATATTTTATATATATATATATATATATATATATATATATATATATAATATATATATATATATAGAGAGAGAGAGAGAGAGAGAGAGAGAGAGAGAGAGAGAGAGAGAGAGAGCTATTCTGGAAAAAAATATATCCTGACTTTGCCTATTATAATTAACTCACAATCATTTAAACTTGTCTAAGTGCAGCAATAACTCACTAAATATTAGATATTATAAGTGATCACAAACATTAAGATGTATATAAAAAAGTATTTTTCTTTTACAGAGGTTGAGGTAGGGCGTGAATTGGCACAGTTGGGAGCTCGGGTGGCAGCAGTGAGGGCTGCCAGGGCACAGAGTGAAGGCGATGTTACTACCCTTACCCGTGCCATACACAACACTGCCTGGGACAGAGCCAACCTCGAAAAGGACAAGATGACGCAGGTAAGTCCTTCCGCTGCTGCTGGTGTTTTCTTCGTCAGGGGTGATTTCTCATGACGTAGTTTTTATTCATGTGATGTCATGCTCACTTGCTAGGCAACAGCTGGCAAACCCATGCTGGGTATTCGCTCCATAAAAAAAATTAGACCATATAAAATGTCTGTTTTTAATCCAGTGGGTAACACCCAGTTGCGTTTTGCAGCTGCAGAACTTACTCATTCTTTCAGTGATTGATACACTAAAATGGAATACAGATTATGCTTAACATTTACATGTCCCCTCAAAAAAGGTTCCTTGATTCCGGTGGGGAGGGGCTCTTAATTCAAGGAATTGGACTAATCCTCGCCTTCTTTGGATCGAACCTGAATATTTCCCATTCCCCAGGCACCCGAAATGCCCCGACATGATAGTGACAGTCTTTGTACCAATCAAATTATGAAATTTAAACACACACTAACCTTTGCAAAGAAATAAACCTTTGTTTGTTTGTTGTACATGATCCTTGTGAGTTCAGCGCCTCCCCCTGATTTAAAATATATAAATCTACATTCGTATAAAAACTGGTTGCGCTTTGTATTCACAACGATGTTTATATATTTATATATTCTCGCTTGGTTAATGTACTCCATAATATTTTCTTGAACGTTATTCCGCTCCAGAATTATGGGTTTTAAAGTTTCTGAATTACAATTAAAGACAAAAATTTATATATAATGCGGGTTTAATCGTAATTATCACTTCTCTTGTGGAAAATACTGTATATATTTTCCGGAAATACGGTAATCTATAGGTAAATAGATGCCCTATATTGTATTTTTAAAAGAAGTATGTTATCGAAAAAAAAGAAGAGACAGTCGCCATTTTGTGGTTTTGAATTGGATACAACGTTAATGTAATGGGAAGAATTTTTCGTGCTCTAGAGGTTAAAATTGGATTGACACCTCTCAAATAGGAGGCGAAATTGTTGGATGTGCATTCCTGCATAACTTGAGATATCAGGCGACTGGACAAGACAGCTCCAGGAACCTCAGATAAGTTATGCAGTAACCTGGCCAGTGTTATTTTCATAGATAGACAGTGAGGTTTTCTGAGTATGATGTACATTAATCTCCAGTCAAATTGGTGAGTGATATTAAAATATATTTTCGTTCTGTTATGTAATTGTGTATATATATAACCATTTATTATTTTTAATATACAGTCCACAAAATTTATATATTTACCAGTATTCCTGGTTATACATATTTCATTGGTAATTAATAGGTCCAGAGCAACTTGTGGATATGACAGTGGTAGGTATCGAAGGGGGACATTTTTTGCGACCTAGGTGTCCCAAATTCCTACATGTCTAACTGATAAATAATAATCATCTTTTCATTTACTGTTATGTATATAATGATACATTCAGATAAATGCAATTTTCCACAACTCTTACAGTTTTTATTTTTTATATTTAGCAAAATTAGATACATTACATTGTGCTACTACCTTGATCTTGATCTCCGTTTTATTTTGCAAAGTTAGAGCAAGAATTATTGTTTACCTAACACACCATCACTAAAAGAGTTGTTTACCTAACACACCATCACTAAAACGAGTTGTTTACTTAACACACCATCACTAAAACAAGAGTTGTTTACTTAACACACCATCACTAAAACAAGAGTTGTTACTTAAAAACCATCACTAAAACAAGAGTTGTTTACTTAACAACATCATTAAAAATAATAATAGTTATAAATGACCATAATGGTTATAAATGACCGGAAGGTCCGGTCAGATGCCCAAAAGCTCCAAAGGCGGGTCATCATCTGCCCAAGACCCGCGTCAGGAAATACTTGTCTTGTTTCCTGACGAACCTTACCTAACCTAACCATCAATTAAAATAAGCTGTTTACCTGACACATCATAAAGAGTTGTTTACAAGACCAAGACTATGTTTATTTAACACATCACTAGACTAAGGGGTTGTTTGCCTAACACCAGAGCAAGAGTTACAAGCTACATGTTAATGCCATGGTTTCTATGCATAAATTCCCAGTTCAACTGAAATTTTATATACTGTAAAAAAATCTTATTCTATTGCCGGAAAATGTCGTGCCCATATGACAACAGGAAAATGCAACCTCCATCCTGTAAGTTTTTCCACCCTGAAAATGTGTCACTTCAGTTCAGGAAAGGCAATGCTATAACTTATATTGTCAAACACACCACCTAAAGTGGACATGAAGATACAAAAACATCCAGACCATGGGAAAACCTGAGCAGCCTCAATCACTGCGTTTACCTGTGTTACAGGACATGTTAGTAGAGCGGTTAAGGACTGCCCTGGAGAGAGAGAGAGCTAACGCTAAACCGCTCTTCACACATCCATCCGGGAGGAGAGAGAGCTCACACAAGGCGTCCCAAGCAAGAGCTAGGATACAACATGATGAAACTGATGCAGCTGGGTGAGAGAGATTTTGTATTACTTATGAGCATTATGTCCATACTCAGTTATTTTTTTTTTGATCACTTTCTCTGGATTGTTATTTTAGTTAGTTTAATATGTTTATTATGCACCCCATACCCATCCTGTGGGCGTTAGTCAAAAGATTACAGAGGTACATAATGGGTCCAGGGACTGGGCCTCAAAGTTTTGATAGCTGAGCAAGTTGCAGAGGTAATGAATTCACAATTTACATGGATTGTACACGATGAATGTTAAATTATAAAGGTAATGCAGTAAAGTGACATATTGAGAAAGTACTAGGGTCCAGTTCGTGATTAGCAGCACGGCTTGAGTCATCCCTTAATTATTTATGTCATCTCTTATTACTCGAGTTACTTGACCAGTATCTTTTTTTGCTCGAGTCATATTTTCATTTTTCATTTTATTAAGTCATCCTTTGATTACTTGGGTTATCTTCTGAGTGTGTTACAGTGGAAAGTTTAATTATGATTCCCTTTTTGTGCATTTTGCCACATATCTTTACTCAGAGTGTGAGAGTGTTGGGGTGAAACGAGCATGGGAGACTAATGTAGTGACGTTACAGCGACGCTCACAGGAACATACCTACGCCCACCAGCATCTGCAGGAGCTCCTGGCTCAGCAGGCAGGACTCCGAGCACAGGTAAGTCATTATTCCTCTTCTACGTGAACGAAACCACTTAAAACGTACGAGAAAAATCGTTGCCCAGAATGTTTGGGGTCAATATTTTCTCTAGCTCCTCGGAAAAAATGGGTTTTACGCAAAATTCAACTCAGCATGCTGACTCAAACGCAGAAACAAGCGTGCTGTCATCTTTTGTGAATAATTTTATATAGCCTGACACCACAAAAGAGTAGAATTTAACAATCACATTTACATCTCATAGCTGGCATGTCAAAGATTCGAACCCGTAATCATCATACCATTGTCCTCATCGCTTCCGGGCCGTGCGGACAGGCTGCGCAGTGGCTCCTGATTCAACTGGTTTACTGCGCAGTTTTCCTGTTTTGTGCTTACAACATGGCGGATCGCATTGGACGCCGGGTGAGCACTGTTTGTGTGGAATTGGTGCGTGGCATGCTTACAAGAACAACTGTGAAAATTTGTGTGGACTGCCTCCAAGTGAGTCGCCTACCCTGGCAAACTCTGTTGACACCGACTCTGAGGTGGGTACCTCAGCCTCACAAGTGGCTTATAGGACGGATTTTCACAAATGATTGATGTTGCAAGAAACTCACCTGCATGCACGTATAAAGGACTAACTTACTTGGTGTTGCAGCATATATCCTGATCTTCAACTTCCCTAAGCTTAGCCTTAGCCCCTCTGGACTCCCCTCAGAAACCACGTGCAACCGGGAGCCTTAATTCCTGCAATATTCAATCGTTATTAGTGTCCTGCCTGCACCTCAGAAATTCCTATATCCAAGATGGTATGTATCCCTTAGTATAACTGCAGACATGGACACTAGCTTCCAGACTGCCCTGAGACACTGGTACTTACTGGGCATGCACTGCCTGTTGCACACCGGGCCCACAGATCAAACTCACTCACAATTCTCCCCAGACACTGGCCAGAAATCTACGAGATAAAGTGGAGGTCTTGTCTTACTGTATGGGCCTGACGGAGGTCATCTACGGTACATCGAGCGACCTCTACCAGATTTCCCCAGGTCTCAAATGTGAAGACACGTGGGGGGCGCCGTCTGCTGATCACGGCACGTCTTGTCCAGTTGGTGTCTGTCTTAAGAAGAACGAGCTGGTCTCTCTTCCAGGCCCTCGTCTCTTCGTTCAAACTAGGGCTGCCAGTTCTCCCTAGCTAACTTATCCTAGTGTTTGCCTACATTATCGGCCTATTACTACCTATGTTAAGGTCTTAGGTCTACATTATTATTATTATCTACAGTTGCCTAAATGATCCTAATATTAGTGTACTATCAGTAAAACTACCTACTCCTTCCCTTAAGGGTAAATCTATAAATTAAATAAGCTTACCAACAATCCACGCCAACTAGAGAATGCTTTGTTTTGGGTGGGGTATAAGGGCCACCCAGCTCAGCCGTTCCATTACGGCCGTCGGATCGGTCCTGTGGAACTTTAGGGACCAAATAAATTTCCACATCCTCCCGCCGGCGAAGGTAGGCGCTAAGTCTAAATCAAGTTCACCTTCCGCAAGCCCCCACGGCGGACCCTGGACACGATTGCCGTCTGGCCACTCTCGTTGAGCAGACTCCGGTCTAACTTCAACCGTCCAGTTTCCCCTGTGTGGACCTCTGGGGGTGTAAACTTGTTGGTTCCGGTGGTCTTAGCACCCTTTGCTTTAACTTTAACATCTTTCGTATGTCTAGCCTTGACTGAGCGGCTCCGTACTTTCCCACCCAGTGGCCCACACGCCTTGGTAGCCTTTCCTCCCACTGTTATGAGGTTCCCTGGATTTAAAGGCAATCTATCTCCCTCTTTACGTACCATGTAAAAGTGTTTTCCCAAGGTGGCCGAGTGTTCGTCACTCCCTACCTGGTTCAGCTTCCCTGGCGG